GATCCAGTGATCAGAATATTCCATTGTCTTTTCATTGTTTTGAAAATCCCATTGTTGTCCATACCATCCAGTCATGATCCAGTGATCAGAATGTTCCATTGTCTTTTCATTGTTTTGAAAATCCCACTGTTCTCCATGCCATCCAGTCATGATCCAGTGATCAGAATATTCCATTGTCTTTTCATTGTTTTGAAAATCCCATTGTTGTCCATACCATCCAGTCATGATCCAGTGATCAGAATGTTCCATTGTCTTTTCATTGTTTTGAAAATCCCACTGTTCTCCATGCCATCCAGTCATGATCCAGTGATCAGAATGTTTCAAATATCCACCAGAGGCGATATTCACTCGATTGTTTTCACTCAGGAAGACCCGGACTTACAGATCGAAAGTTTGTTCCAAATAAATACAGTAATCAGGATGTTTTCCACAAAAAATCTATCCACCAGAAATTTAAAGAAAAGCAACAAATCATTCAACTCACCTCTCATCACAACAAAAAACAAAGACAAATGCGATCCTTTTCCAAAACCATCTCCATTCATGTAAATTTTAGCACACATCTTATAACCATACTGAGCGCCGTAGAAAGGTGGACTGTACAAGGCAGTCTTCACCCCATTGATGGCATCTTGCCGTTTTCTCTGGTAGCTTTCAATCTTCCACAGTAGAGTGCCATTGTAACTGTGGATAACTTGTTGTGCACGCGGACCTCTTTGAGACTCCAAATCGGTAATTTTGACTGTATTTAGAGCAAGAGACTCGTCCATTTGATCCATCCTACTTCGCAAACGATCAATAATTGCGATCTTATCTCTCACTTCTCGTTCTAAACTCATATTCCGTTCACGTAAGTTGCCGCTTTCAGTAGTAAGGTCTCGAACTTTACTTTTTAGTTCGTGCACTTCATTTGTAATCCTTGTATTCCCCCCACCACTGGATTCCAAACCTTCAATCCGTCTTTCCAAGCCGGTCAACTTTCCGACAACCATGACAAACTTCTCGGCCAATCCAGAACGAACTTCGGTGATGTCGTCGCGAATTCTCTGCATGATTCCAGTAAATTCCGGACGTGGAATATAGTTGCCCAGCTGGGTAACGAAGGTGAGAATATACTGTAACAGTAGTCTGACATGATTTATCAATCCATCGTTCATATGTTGACGTACTTCATTTCGCCTCAAAGTCTGCGAATTGTATCAAAGATAAAGGTAAATAAAAATTTATGGAAGGCTATTGAGCAGTTGAGCATTGTCAATAGTGAGTTTAAGCTGCCAAGCGACGTTTTTGTTGATAAGGACGACACACAAAAATTGGTATAACTAATTTTGGCGGCATTTTGCATCATAGCACTCGTGCAAGAAAGCAAAAAACTTCAAAAATCTTATGTTTTGTCATATGTGTTGAAGATTACGACAAACTGACACAAACACAGTTTTTAGTCCAGTCCCTCCTCGGCAATCTTGATGGACCTCCGTGTTGACAAAAACGTCGCTTGAGCAGTTGTGCATTTGCTCACCTAGGTTTTTGAAGTAACTTATATTTATTTATTCTCACTATCAGATACAACAACAACAACAACAAACAATTTTTCATTACTAATAACTACTAACTTTAATTCTAGTTGATAGGGTCTTCCACTTATCAGTTCAACGCTACGACAGGAGGAAACTTAAACTAAGGCTATGTGCACACGGGCGTCGTTTTGGAGCGTTTTCAAAAACGTTTTTG